GCTGAACCATTCTCTTGTGCAATTACTTACCCTCAGTGAGAACTTCCATCTCTGTGCATGTTTCTGATGTTTCTAAAAGGGACTTTGCATATCTGAAGCATATCCCACCATGTAAGCCTTGTCATGATAAGTGGTAACTTTTGAAGGTCAGATAAAGCAATGGCAAAAGAAGATGCCTCTCATGGAGAACAATGCCCCCATGGTAGCTCATAACAAGAATGACTAGTCTCTACAGGATTTCTAGAGTCTAAATACAGCTTGTTTTCCTCCAAATTCTACAATCGCAGCATATTTCACTCTGTGTAGTATCACTGCAGAAGACTTTCCCCAGGACAAAGCAAGGACATTCCTCCAGTGTGTGGGATCCTTACCATAGGCATCCACTCATCAACTCCATGTTCTCATTCTTTAGGCACAATCACTTCTTCCTACATTTTAATTTAGCTCCTTCCCATTCCTTTAAACTTTTTCCTTGTCATGCTTTGCTAAGCTCTGTATTTTTCAGCCTGATGGCTGCAGCCTGTGCTTTGAATTTCTGTCCTTTATCTGAAAAAAGGGAAAAATTTTTGAGTTCCCCTGTTTCTATGAAACATGGTGAAGCTGAGCCTGTTCACAACTTCTTTGAAATGCACCACCAAGCTCTTCTCCTGTTCTACTCTGGTAATAAGCACTCTTCTGTCTTTGCTTCTCATGGCTCCATTTCCGGTTCAGAAATTTTCCTGCTGTTTATTTTTTTAAGGCCTCTATGATTTCACAGCACAGTAGAAGCTTCCAGTTCAACCATGAGAACTTCAGTATCTTCCCGTCCCCTTTCCCTCCATCATTTTTCACTTCTTTGGCCACATTTCTCATGTGCATTCTTTGCAGTTTCCAGTAATGTATGAGTCAACACTTCTCCTTTCAGCACTTTCCCTTTGCCCAGAGGTACCACAAGCCATACCCAACACCTGCTGGCTGTTGATGTGCTTCTGTTCCAGCTGCAACATGAATTACCTTGTCTAGAAACACAGACTGTTTTTTCCACATGTCCAAATCTCTGTCTCAGCTTTCTCTGCCAGTCACAGATTTGGTTTTCAGTTCAGGCTAGAATTTCTCACAGAACTCTTCAGCTTTCCATTTTGCTCTGTTTTATTTGCTGATTCATGCTTTTTCAGCTGTGCAATGCAATGACTGTTGTTCCTGAGAACCCCTGCTCCATGAGCTTCATCTCCTTCTGTGGTTTGGGTAGGAGATCTGCATTCCAAGTTCTGTCAGGAGGTTCTTGGCTACAAGGCTTTTCTTGGAAAATAATTTCAGCAGAAAATACGTTGGAATCTGTTTCACCGTATGAGTCATTAACCAAGATAGAAAAATGATTCTCATGTGTAAATATGAGCAGAAAAAGTTATGAAATTATTTACCTTGATTGACTACAGCTTCTGAGAATACATAAACACTTCCATATGTTTGGATTTTGGTGGACTTGATGGCTACACAAACACTTGTCAGGCTATAAGTCCTGGATATAGAACCTATTGGACGTGCATCTGGGCAAACAAACTTTGCTCTTACAAATACTACTGAACTCTTAGACCAAGGTTGAGATAATCTTCTGCCTTCAGCCAGTTATCTATTCATGCACTCAGCCTGAAGCACATGAATTGTTCCAGTAAAGACAACTATCTGTCTGCCTAAAGCTAGGAATGGAGGCAAGTACCTCTGTGAATTAAGATCTCTGAAATCTAAGGCATGTACTGAGTAAGGGCAAAAAAAAGACCATGTGCAACTTAAAATAAGGCTGTGTAAGCTCTCCTTTGTCTTCAAACTATTTCTTTAATAGACACCTGAGGAAAATAATTCCTGTGAAATAAATTACGCACCCATTAAGGAAAAGTAAGACATATCTTTTACCTCTAAGCTACTGGAGATTTTGTTTTCGAGATATAATTAGTAATTCCTGAAGATGACTTGGCAGTGAAGAAACAGCTGCAGCTCAGCACTTCTCAATATCCAATTCTAAAAAAAAAAAAAAAAAAAAAAAAAAAAAAAAAAAAAAAAATAAAAAATAATTAAAAAAAAAATTTTTCTCTCACTCCTGTGAAATAAATTACGCACCCATTAAGGAAAAGTAAGACATATCTTTTACCTCTAAGCTACTGGAGATTTTGTTTTCGAGATATAATTAGTAATTCCTGAAGATGACTTGGCAGTGAAGAAACAGCTGCAGCTCAGCACTTCTCAATATCCAATTCTAAAAAAAAAAAAAAAAAAAGAAAAAAAGAAAAGAAAAAAAGTTAATAATAATTACAATAATAATTACTGCTTCAGCTAAATCTCCTGTTACTTTCTTAAGTGTAAGAACATCAGACTGAGGAACTTTTGTGCTGATGGCCAAACTGGACCTGAAAATTCTTTTGGCAGATACCCCTGCAATACACACC